CTAAAAACAAATTCACTTCTGGGCGGATTTTAACACAAAATAATATTGTTAAATTAATTTTTTCAGCTATTTGTTTTGTTTATTTTTAATACTCTCATTTAACAATAAAATATAAAATTGATTTATTTAATATTTTTTAATTATCATATATAAAATTCAATTTAAATACGTTTGATATGGTCTGTTTTTATAGATTCGTGTCGATTTTTTGACTTTACTTAAGTGTTAAAAATGGTTTAAAATAATTTAAAATAAAAATTGAATTATTTTAAATTCTACTATATCGTTTCTGATGTTATATACTTTATATAAGTATATAATTTTATATATAAATTGAAATATGTACTTGACATACGTATGTATACTAAGGTATGTAAAATAAACATATTGTGAGTTAATATATACATTATTTATAATTACATATCTATATTTATATATAAATATTTATATGTATATAGTGTGTTTATATAATAAAAGAGATTATTTATATCACGCTGGCTTAAGTTTGTAAATTCATTATAATTTTTTTTCTGTTTATTTTTATCATTTTAATTATTTAAAATTTATTATTTAATTTTTTTTGTTTTGTTAAAATTTTCAATTTTGCTTTAATTTTTTTTTAATTTTGGAAGTACAAAAAGTGTTTAATTTTTCAACAATTTTATGTTGCGATTTAGTTCAGAAATGGAAGGATGTATATTATTTTATTATTATTTTGAAATGTGTGATATATTATAATTTTTATCATTTATTTTTTTTAATTAATGTGTTTTTTTTATTAATTTTTTTTTATTAATTTTTTTTTATTTTTTTCCCAATATTTTAAATATTCTGTACAAAATTACTTCAATGTTTTGATTTTCTTTATAATCTTATACTGAGTTTCTATATATATCTATGATTTGTTTAAATTTTAATTACGTATATTCGAATTAAATTTGTAATGTAAAATTGTTTAATATTTACAATTTATTATCTTAATAGTCCATAAACAATACATATTAAGATAAATTTGTTTCATCCCAATATTACATATGATATAAATATATAAAATGCGAAAAAAAATAAAACTAAGTAATAAATAAAATAAATAAAATATAATAAAATAAAGTAACCATAAAGTAATTAAAAAAAAAATGATAAAATTATATAAATATAATTAAAAAAAAAAATCAAATGGAATGCATTAGTAATGAATTAAGGAAAATAAAATAAAATGAAATAAAATAAACTAAACTAAAACAAAATAAAATAAATTAAAATAAAAGACAATGAAATAAAATACAAGGAAATGAAATAAAATAAAATAGTATAAAATAAAATGAAATAAAATAACATAAAATAAAATGAAATAATATAAAATACAATGAAAAAAAAAAACAATATAATGTAATAAAATAAAATAATTTGAAATAAAATAAGATAAAATACAATAAAATAAAATAGAACATAGCAAACTAAAATAGAATAAAATGAAATAAAGTGAAATAGAATTAAATAAAATAAAATTTAGTTAAAAATACAATATAATAATATAAAATAATATAAAATAAAATACAATACAATAAAATAGAACACAGCAAAATAAAATAGAATAGAATAAAATAAAATAAAATAGAATAAAATAAAATAAAATAAAATAAAATAAAATAGAATAGAATAGAATAGAATAAAATAAAATAAAATAAAATATTGCTTAGTCTGATTAAATGATAACTAATAATCCAATCAAGGCGTAAAGAGGGTTTTCAAAGATACCCCGAGTTAATAGAGAGTAAAAGTGCTCAAGTGCACTGACTCAAGTAGCTTCAACATAATAATAAAATAAAATATAGTCAAAAAAATTAATCAAATAAAATAAAATAAGTTAAAAAAAATAAAAATAAATTAAAATAAATTAAAAGTAAAATTCGATAAAATAAAATAGAGTTTAAATAATATAAAAAAATAATATTTCTATATTAATTTTAATACCAAAATTACAAAGTAAATCCTTTAATTGTTATGAATAAATAAATTATTTTATTTTATTTTTAGGTTTTAATAGAAATTTTGTGTTTAATGGATATATGTTTTCAATATAGTTCATATTTTAAGAATTTTACAGCTAGCACCTTGTATTTTTCATTAATATTTTGTTCCATAATATATATGTAATATGTTATTAAATTTTTTTTTTTTGAAACATTTTTATTTCATTGTTTTTTTTTTTGCTTTTAAAATTAACAATATTTTTATATATAACTGATATCATTTATTTATTTTTTAAAACAATTTGGAGCAGAAATTGAACAATAAATAAAATGATTACTTATCAAAAAATTATTTATTCTTAAATACTCTTTTAATTATAAGGAAGCCAGATAGATTTAAAATTAAAAGAAATTAGTAAACAAAATTTTTTATAGAAATTAATTTAAAAATGTTGTACTTGGTTTATTCAAAATTGTTCATTACTATATAATGATCAACGGTGAGGAACCAGTATTTTTAAATTCATTAATAAAACTTTTAATTGATGTATTTTAAAATTTATAAGTCAATTTGTTTTGAATAGAGAGAACAACCTACTAATTTATTAGTAGATATTGCGGTCTTCGAAAAGGATAAGCATCGTATAGGTTCAGAAACAACAGTTGTTTAGTATAAAATTTTGATGTTTTTAAAGAAATTTTTTTTCAATAAAAGAAAGGACTGTGTTGTTATAAAGACCCTAACTGTGAATTATGTGTACATATTGGCTTGTGCAGTGTTTAAAAATAGTTTCTCGGTTTTAATAGGTAAAGAATTTCTTTGAGTATATTTAATGATAGATATTGAACAAAACTTTATTGAAACAAAATTAACGATAGTGGAATAATATATTATTATTAAATTAATAACATAAATATTAATAAATAATATATGTAATATTATTCCAATTTTGATTTCAAAAATTTTTCCTTGGGTCCAGCCTGTCTCGCTCACTGGCTACACTTATAAATAGTATTAGTTAAATTTTGGTTTAACATCGCCTATAGAGAACGTACATATAAGATTGGAGAATAGTCATTTTTCTATATATATATATATATTACCTTTATATATATATAAAATAGTAATATAAAATAACATATACATAACATATTGAAGAAAAATTAAATTAAAATGCTGTACATACAAAGAAGTATTCTCAGAATAATATATTTAAATTCATATTAATTTAAAACTGCTTTATTTATAATTTTTTATATAAATATCGTTATATTCTTATTAGGTTTGCAAATTTATTCAATTAAAATAAAAGTGAGAAATAAAGAAAAAATGCAATTTTGAATTTTGTTTAAAATTTATTGTTTCACGTTTTATTCAAATGTTTGCTTACGTATTGTTATTACTATTTTCTTAATTTTATAACTAAAAAGTATTTAAATTTTGAAATAAATTATATATAATAATTTATTTCATTTATTTTTATAGGCTAAAACCTAAATAACACGTTTTTATGTATGCTAAGCTAAGAAAAAAATTATTTAATATACAAATCATTACTTGTATTTATATATATATATGTATGTATATATATGTATGTAATAATATACTACAACTATAATAAATTACTTAATTTTAAAAGTTGTATTTATTATTGATTTTATTTTTATATATGCGAGGATTTAGTTCCCCTGCTGTAATTTATATATGCATAATTCGTTAACACATATTTTGTATTTATATATTATATATACTATTCATATATATATTGATTTATATATGTATATATAATTAACAAAACATTTTTATTTAAAATGCAAATTATATATTTTTACTTGTAATTATTGTATTTATTGATTTATTTTTATTTTTACATTAAAAAAAATCTAGAAACTATTAAATTGAATTTAATTAAAAATTATTTTTTTATTTAAAACTAAGTTTTAACTAAAGCGAATGAAGAAATGCATCGTAAATTCTTATATATAAAAAATTTTTTAATTAGAAAATAAACATTAAAATATTTTTAAAATTGCTTAATAAGTAACAAATAAATTTTTTAATAATAGAATAATTAAAAATTCAACACAACTCCTTAAACTATTTTTTAAAAACATTTTATGGTTTTAATTCAACTGCACTTTTGTTGTGATTTTTTATATACAAAACAGAAAAATTAAAAAATGAATTTAGAATTTCTTAAGCTAACATTTAATTTGTTTCAATTTATTTAATATTTCAAATGTCTAAATTATTATAATTTACTTTTATATATACTAATTAGGAAAACAGTGGATTTATTAAAATTATGAGAAATTATTTGCAATTTTTAATAAAAAAATTAATGTTTTTTAATTCTTAATACGATATGCTGTGTATTTGTTATATTCTAAAAAATTTTATTCCATTTTAATTTTAAAGTTTTTATAACTAATTAATTCTTAAGAAAAATTATACTACATATGCTAATAATTATTTAATAAAAATTTTTTGCTGAATTTTAAAAATATGTAAGGGCAAGAAATATTTTTTTGGAATTTTCAATTATTTATAATTTATATTGTTTAATAATGTATCAATTTTTTATTTATTTAATTAATTATTTTAATAATAATGTAAATTTACAATTTACTTTCTTCAAAATTTTGCAATACTTTTTTGAAATAAAAATAGATAAAATTTTATTTAACTACCTTCTTTATATGATTTCATTCTTTTTAATGTCTTCCTTTATATTTTTTATATTTAATATCTATTATTTTTAATTTAAACTCTTAAGATTTTTTGGTTTCTGGTTTATGTTTATTTTAAATGTTAGAAAAATGTTATTTTAATATTTTTTTCAATACTTTTGAGATCAAAAGGAAGTTAAACAATAATTTTTATAAGAAAAAATTCATATTTACAAGTTATACATATAGAGCAATAATATTTACAAAACATAAATAATACATAAAATAAAGCAAAAGATAAAAAATTACGTTTACAGTCTTTACAATAACATAAAAAAATTAATACTCAATGTTTTTACTTAGTTTATTTACATTTTATGCAGTGTACAATATTTGAAATCAACCCAATCACAATTAAAAAAAACTTGAACGTTTTTTGTAGTGTGCACAGCACTGCCACATGTCGCAATAGCCGGACATCCTCCCCATTCGCTCACATAGTACTCATTTCAGCTTTAGTAGTTCCACGTTGGTTGCGGCGTGTCTTCATCGTTGCTCATGCGGCTCATACGCAACATGCGTAGTTTGTCTTCACTCACCATTTTCAACTGCTCCTCACTTAGATTGCCCTTACTCACAGCTGTCGCCGCTGTGCCCTCGGTGTCGCTTTCACAGTCTTCTTTCTCCTGTTTAATTCGCACTTCAGGTTCCATAAAGCGTTGATCGATTTCTAAGTGATCATGATCGACTTCGCTTCCGCCGGCCGTGTCGTCTTCATGTGCCGCACTAAGCTTTTCAGCTTCATTACTTTGATGCACACGCTCACTTGTTGCTTCGTCACCGTGTTTAAATTCATTTGATTGAGATTGCATGACACAGACTCCATTGATAATACGGTCACCTTCACTAGCAGTAGCAGCAGCAGCGCCTGGTGTAGTTACTGCACCAGCTGGATTTACCCATTGCGGTGCTGCTGGTTTGCGTCTGGAACTACGCACATTGGCGCCCAAATACCCACCAGCTAGAGAAGAGCGTGGCGTTTCTTTGTAGTCACTACACTTATCATCACCATCACCACCATCGAGAGATTCATTATCACTCAAGTGATTCTCATCCATATCGTCTTCATAATCATCGGTACGTTCGCGTTTTAAGGCGCTCATTGTCAAGTCAAGTCCACTCATTTGTTCTTTGAAAGCTTGATTAAGTGCTTGCAAATCAGGTTCACCACCTGCACCAGCCGCAGCGCCAGGCATGCCAGCTAAGCTACGTCCCAGTAAAGCAGCTGCTGCAAAATAAGGTGGGTATGGTATTGGTGGTCCACTAATACCCATGCGTTCTTTGTGAATTTCAAGCAGTCGTTGTTGTAGTAGTATGCGAAACTGGACGGGATCGAATGGTGTGGAATTAGTGTTCTCACGGCTTGGTATTGGATTCTCGGCACCAGGTTGTCCATGTGGTACTTGCTGCTTAAGACGCATGCGATGATTGTGGAACCAATTGGTGATAGTACGTGTAGCAAGTCCTAATTCGTTGGCTAAGAATTCAATCGTACCCACATTTGGATAGGGATCTAAAGCAAATGCAATACGTAATGCTTCCTTCTGTTCTTCGGAGAAAAGTACGCGTTGTTTTTTATTTGGTGGTGCGCCGCTTACAGAAGAACCAACAGAGCCAGGTCCTGGGCTACTAGTATAGAAGTCATTTGTATCATTACTGGAAGTATCTGAGCTATTGTCTTGCTGATTTGGGCCTGTAGAACGACGGCGTTTGCTTGCTTCGCGTCGTTCGTTTTTTAGAAGTTGTAAGCGCTCTACATTATTAGCATCGGATAGCCACAATTGCATTCTAATGAAGGGTTCGCGTCCTTTAATGGATAGCATATGCCAAGGTTTTGGTTTGCTAAGCAACTCTGAAACTGAACCCTGTGATAGACCAAGTACAGCTTCACCAAAAATTTTCTGTCCTATATTATTGGCAAGTAACGCTTCCTTGATTTTTGTAGTGATTACTTGTGTATCCAAATCTTGTGTAAGTGCTGCCATTTCGTAAACGGTCGGTGACATATGTTGGTGCATATTGCGCATTGCATTGGCCTGATGTGGTGAATGTATAGGCATCATCATTGGTTTTTTATCAGCAGCAGATACGGAGCCTGCATTGGCGGCTGGCAGGCTGATTGCATGTTGTGGTGGTAGACCGGGCGAAGTAAGCAACATGCTTTGGTGATGTTGTGCAGCTTGTGCGGCGGCTTGTGCTGCTTGCACTGCTGCAGCCGCTTGTTGTTGACTTTGTTGCTGTTGTTGTTGTTGCATAGCGGCTGACATCGCAGCAGCCGCTTGCATTTGTTGCATGATATGTTGTGCCTGAGCTGGTTCCTGTAATTTTAGTTCATTCATCATTTTTTGCATTGGCAGGGAAGCTTGCATTTTGTTAGCTAAACCCTGTGGTATTTGTGGGCTGCCACTGTAGCTACCCGTGCGCATCAGTTTCTCGGGTGCAATTTTATATTGGCTAGCGACTAATTTATGTACGGCATTCTCATCTTCCAGAAACATTTTCATTCGTATGAAAGGTTCGCGTCCCTTTTGCGTGAGCATGTGCCATGGTTTTGGACGTGCTAGCAAATCAGAAACTGAACCTTGTGATAAGCCAAGTACGGATTCACCGAAGAGGCGTTGTGAGATGGAATATTGAGATAGTGCTTCCTTAACGCGGCGTACAATATCTTCAGTGTTCAGATTGTTGAACATATCAAATTGCTGTTGCGTGATTGGTGGTAATACGGCTTTGGTGGGTCGTTGTGGTTGTGTGTGATGCGGTGTAACGGGAGGTTGTGTGATAAGTGAATTGGTGATGGAAGCCATACGTTGTAGAGGACTAGCTGCAGCTGAGAAGTCATCGTTTGGTGTCATAGCGGGCGGTAAGATGGAGTTACTCAAAGGGCTGGGCGCAGCAGAATTTACATTTTGTGCAGAAGCATTGCTCGATGGTGGTGGTGCGGGAGTAAGGCTACCACCTTCTGGTTTACGTGAATGTAGCGAGAAACCAGTAGAAAGTCGTTCAGCGTCAGCAGCTGACAGTTCTTTGGTATTTGCGCTGCTCGAATTGGCATTATTGCTGGCTGATTGTGAGTCCATGGAATTGGAGTGATCCATTGAAACACGTTGACCATTCATTTTAAGCTCTTTGCCGTCCTTGGTGAGTGTTAAGTCTTGTACGCCATTCAATACTTGTTGTTGCAATGCCATTAAACTGGAAAAATTTGGAAAGTTTGGCATATTACCAGCTGCCGTTTGTTGTTGTTGCTGTAATTTGGCCATCTCACGTTCAAAAGCTAGACGTATATTTTCATCGGCAGCCATTGCAGCGGCGGCGGGGAATGCATTACCGGTCATATTAGCTGGCGGCATACCGCTAGCAGCGCTGAAAAATGGCGAAAGCAAGAAACTATGATTAGGTTTAGTATAACTGTTCAATATAGAAAAGATTATTTAAATAAAAATAAAATTGAATTAAAGGTGACAAACCTTGGAAAAGTGCTTCCATGTGGATTACGTGACATAATTTCTTGATAAAGTCTTGCCATTTTGTCTTGAGTTAGTTCGTCTTGACGTAGGCGGTGTTGTTGCTGTTGTTGTTGATGATGTGCAGCATCTTGCTGTTTGATTTGATCCTTGTAAAAGGGAGAAGTACAAGTCTGATGAGGGGATTTGGAGTCTTCATTGCTGTGCGTATCATCATGTGCGGAACGGCGATGTTGCTCTTGCTGTAAATGGCGTTGTTGTTCATCTTTTAATTGCTGCTGTAAGGCGTTTGGTGTAGAGTTCTTCATAAGTGTGGAGGCTTCGCTCAGTATGTGAGCGATACGATCATCAGACATTGAATCTTCACCACGTCCACCATAAGGCGGTAGACCAGAATCTGAAATTGCAAGAAAAAAATTGTAATCAGTCTTTGATGCAAATTATATATATGGTAGATCGTTGAAGAGGGGATGTGTTTTTGTAGCGATCATAAATAAACCATTAAGCGATATAAAATTTTGAATTCTTATTGCCAATCAAGCAATAATCATAGTTGTTTTTTACTTTTGACTGAAATTTGTATCACCGGTTGACGTATTGCAGATATCTCTGTGTTGCGTATGCGATCTTATGCAGTTCGTGGAAAGTGAATGACGTGATTTGATTTGCATGATTTTATTTGCACATTGGCAATAAATTTCCATCAACGTAGCCGTCAAATTGACAGAGGAGATGTGCTTTTTAGCGTCTCAATTTGCCAATCTGCCTTTGGCCATTGAATTTATTGGACCTATTGATAGCAGAGGAAATGATTGCCTTTTTGTGTTCTACCATTTGGCAATGAGTATGACCTTCGGAAATTAAGTCATAAAAGTAGTCGTTACCGGCTTCTGATGTCTTAGCCCTCAAAGTGCTTTTGAAATTTTTTTTTTGAGCCGCGCTTTTAAATGAAATCAAAGATCAGAGAACTTTCGACTCTTGGCAGAGTTCATTTAATTCATTTGATTTTAGTGGTTTGGAGTGAAGTTTGAAGTATTTCTATATTGACGTAAATTATCGGCAATAAAAATACAATTTAGGCTTTCCTGCTTGCGTACATTTCTTCTTTAATTTTGAGACAATAAAATTTTATAATAGAAAAAAACCAAGAAAAACCAGAATATACAAGTAAAAAGAAAAAATATGAAAAAAAAACGTAAGAGATTAAAATATTAAAATAAAATTAAAAAAAAAAAACAAAAAATTTAAATTAAAAAAAAAAAATATGAAAGTCAGAATAAAATAGTATAAAAATAATAATAAATAAATAATAAATAGTATAAAATAAATTAAAGAAAAACAAAGAAAATAAAAATAAAATAAAAACAATAAAATAAAATAAAGTAAAGTAAAATAGGATACAATAAAATAAAATAGGATGAAATAAAATGAAAATAAGCTATATTCATATAAAAATAAAATAAAATAAAATAAAATAAAATAGAAGAATCTAAAATAAAATAAAATAACAAAAAATAAAATAACAAAAAATAAAATAACAAAAAATAAAATAAAATAATATTAAATAAAATAATGTTTATTTTTCATGACGAAAAGAAACTATTTAAAAGTTAGAAGAGTTCGAATAGAAATGAAAAGACATATAAAAAAATTTTAGTTAATTTATTGAAATTTGGCTAACTATACAACTCTGTTTCGGTATTGCCAAGTACTCATTATCAGTGGTCTTAGGATGAATTTTCTACCATTTCCTTAAAATAAAATAATTTAAAATGAAATGAAATAAATTAAAATAAAAAATATTAATATAAACATAAAATGAAAACGAAATTAAAATAAAATAAAAAACATAAAAAGAAAATAAAATATACTAAAAATAATATAAAAATAAAATAAAATCAAAATTAAATAAAAATAAAATAATTTTAAATAAATATAAAATAGAAATAATAAAATAAACTAAAAATAATATAAAAATTAATATAAAAAAAAAATTAAGTTAAATAAATTAATAATAAAATCAAAACGAATTTAAATAAAATTAGAAATAAATCAAATTTAAGTAAATATATAAATAAGCTAAATTTGGAATTAAATAATTGAAAATAAAATCAAAATAAATTGAAGCAAAAAAATACATATAACATACCTATTTTATATATTTTTATATAAAATATAAAAATAAATAAAATATAAAAATTTATAAAATAAGAAGTTAGTGAACGTAAAAATAATATGTTTAATAATATTAACTAATAGTACATGTCCAGAATATAATACTCAAAATACCAAAAAGTGGGTTGTAAATTAAGCGGGAAAACAGAAAAACGTATAAAATAAAAACCAAACAAATAAATAAGAAAAAAGATTAAATTTAAAAAAAAAACAAAAAACATTACTAAATATAAAATATAAACACAAGAGAAACACAAAAATAATATCTGTATAACAGAAATAACAGTACTGACAAAGAAAAAATAAAAGATTCTATTGATATCTATTTAAAAAAACAAGATTTTTTATTTTTAAATGATAACTTTAAAATTAAATTTATACAAATTTTAATTGATAATAATTTTTATATAAAATGCATAATTTATTTAATAATTTCAATAACAAAAATAGCTCTGAAGGCGTGACTCTTTTGCAAAAATTATATGCAATTGCGGCTTAAAAATCTTGTACTGTAATTTTCACTAAATATGTTTGTAAAATGGAAAAATATGTGAATAACATTATTAATTAAATGAATCAAACGATTAATTTCCTTTTTGCTTTTAACTCAATTTAAATTTAATGGTTGCATGCCTGCTAATAAAATTTCTCGCTTTTTTTGATTTTAAATTGATTTGAAATCGTTTATTTTTATTACGTCGCCCCTCCTCTGCACGAAAATGTCTGCTGACCTTGCCAAAGCGATGTTTTCCGCATAAAATAATTTTGCAAAAAAAAAAAAATTGAAATTATATAAAAAATTAAAAAAAAATACAATTAATGCACCATTTAAATCAAAAACAAAAACATATCCAACCAACAAATCAAACCAAACCAAACCGAACCAAATGAATACACAAATTTTGCATGCAATGCAGTCAACAATCCGCAATTTTCTACCAATTTCCACACATCGGGAAGGAAAAAATTATGTTTCGTCTCTTTGGCATTTATGTAGAATTTTTTCCATTTACCATATTTCCATTTTTCCATTTTTTGAGCTTTGATTGCTTAGCCATGTAATCCAAACACTATTTGTGGAATTTTCATCTATGATTTATTTTTTTCTGATTTTATTCGAATCCCAAATCAAAACCGTCAAAGCGAATTAGTGGTTTTTACACTCATTCAAATTCATTCGATATGTTTTGACAAAAATAAAAACTGCATGAATGAATGAGTATGAAAAGCGGTAAAATTAAAAAAAACAAAAAAAAAAGAATTTCAAATCAAAATTCAAATGGAAAACACCACAAAAGTACACTCATGCAATTTAGCCGCCGACCTCAACAACGTATGCATCACTAAGCAAACAATCCATCAAAAACCTAAACACTACAGCAATGATAGACTAGAAATTTTGTATGAACGAGTATGAGTTGTTGGTATATATACGAGGAATGTGAGGATTACATCCCTACAGAGCATTTAAATGCATATTGGAAGAAAAAATCAAGAATAATTCATATGGCACGTGCCAGAAGCATAAAACAAATCAACTTCTAATATTATAGTATAGCATTATAATAGCTAATCTCATAGGAAGCTCAAGAAAACTATTTGACTTTCTTTATAATTAAATTAAATAAAATTTATAAATTAAATTTGATATAAATTTATTATGAATTATTATTGCGAACAAAACATATTATTCATTTTTTCGTTTCGGTGTAGCGATTGTGGAGTGACATAAGCATGGCTTCTTTGTAATAAGAAGTACCGTACAAGTCCTGTCCTTGTCCTGTACAAGGATCTGTACACAAGAAAGAATACTATAAAAATACGAAGATCATGGAGTAACATTAATGACTTCTTTATAATAAGTTTAGAGAGAAGGGTCTAATGTAAGAAAGTTTTTTTTTGTTTTTTAAAATGAACAAGTAAATTATAAAAACTCCATTAAAATTAAAAGATACAAAATACAATACAAAATATTTGAATAATATAATGTAGTTAATAATAAATAACAGTAACAAGTAAATAAAAAAAAGTTAATAAAATGTTAGTAAATTAGCAATAAAAAATAAATCAACAGTAAAAAATAAACAAAGAATAAATAAAAAATAATTTAATAAAAAATAAATAATATATAAAAATTGAGTGATTAAAAAATTAAAAATAAATATATAATAAATAAAAAAATAATAAATAAATAATGAACAACTATTTAGTAAATACTAAATGTATGATTAATAAATAATAACATTAAATAAATAATTATAAATAATAAATTAATTATAATAAGCAAATAATAAATAAGCAATAATTAATTTATAAATAAGCAATAAATAATTTATAAATATATAATAGATAATAGTAAATCAATAATAAATAACTAATGAATAAATAATTAATAAAAAAAAAATAAATAATAAATAAATAAATAAAAACAAATAAATAATTAATAAATAAAAAAAAAGTAATAAATCAATAACAAATAGATAAAAAATAAATAAATAAAAAAAATAAATTGAAAATAAATAATAAATAAAAATTAAATAAATAAAAAAATAAGTAATAAATAAATAATAAATAAAAATTAAATAAATAAAAAATAAGTAATAAATAAATATTGAATAAGTAAATAATAAAACAATAAATAATAAATAAATAATAATTCAATCATATATAAATAATAAATAAAAAAAAGTTATCAATAAATACATACAAAGTTAGTGATAAATAAATAATAAAGCAATAGTAAATAAATAAACTCTCTCGGGGATTGTGGCCTTGTCGTGGCGAGGGGGCTTAGTAGGGTGCAATGATCCTGAGAGCGATGCCGGCGGTAGCGTAGCTACTGGTAGGGCCTCCCTTGCCGGTAAGGTCAAAGAGGAGCATCTGAAGCTAAGAGCAATCCACAACGGTTCGCGACCCGGATGGTCTTTTTCCTCCATGACGTCCCGGGATGTAGGCAAGATACAGCATCTTCAATCTTCGCTAAGAAGCCCACCGTTTTCAAGAAATTCAAATGAAGAAATCAATAATAAATAACAAAAGAACAAATAAATATAAGAAAATATATAATAACAAAATAATAAGAATTAAACAATAACTAAATAAAAAATAAATAATAAATAAATAAAAAAATTTGTATAAAATGAATTTTAAACAATAATAAATAAATAAAAAGCATTTATTAAAAAAATGATAATTAAATAAAAAATAAATAAATAAAAAACC